TGCAGAGCCGCGTCCCCCTCCCTCCCCGCCGGCCCGGGCAAAGTTGAAGCCCAGGGAGGCGCGGGCTGAGCCGCTCCTGCCCCAGGAAGGGACCGCCGGGAGCCCAGCCCGTAGCCAGGCAGGGTGTTCTTTCGGGCAGGGATTTTTTACAGGCAGGGATTTTAAGCAGTCCCGATGCGTGTGTGCACACAGCGGGGTCCTCGGCTTCGCTCCCGAAGCTGCTCGGTTTTGTCCCCCGTCCCCCCAAATGAACCCCTAAAGCAGCGATTTGCGATCTCGGCCGAGGTGGTAGCAGGCCCCGGGGGGCCTCGGGTGCCCCCGGAAAGCCAGCCCGCGTAGGGAGGGGGAATTGCCGGAGAGGGTCCCGGTGGAAAGGGAGCAGGGGGCTGCGCATCACGAAACGCCACGGTCTGCTGCGCAGTTGGCGCCGAGGCGATGCTTCTCGCTGCAAGCCAAAGCAAAGGCGCCTGGCACAGAGCGGGGCGCTCAAGAAACCTGGGGTAGGGGGGGTGAACCAGCCCCAGCTGTGCAGCGGGAGCTCAGGGGCAGGGAGGCGAGGGAAGGGACATCACCAGTTTCGAGTTTCAGAGGCCTTTGGGACCCTCCTGCCCGGCTGCGGTTTGTCCTTGTATAAAGTGCAAAGCCAGGCTCTAGCAGGGGACAACCTGGCCAAGATGACTGATGCAGACGGAGGGGATGGAAGCAGGGACTCGGGCACAGCTGCCAGCTACACAGGCTCCCAGGACACTTTCTGAGCCCTCCAAAGCCGCTCTCGCACCATTTTTGGTATCCCAGGAACGCCAACACAATTGACCGTATCTTCTTTCATGCTACTCAAGCCCACTTCATCCCCGTAAAACCCTTGGTGCCATCTTATCACTGGGCAATAATAAAGGGAAGGAAAGCAGCTACACTGAGATTTTAGTCCCAGGTCTACTGCTTACCCCTCTCTGGCTTTAAAAAAAGGCTCTGTGCTTCAGTTTCCCAAACTGAGAAATGGGCAAAGGATGAAGGGAAGGGGGGCATTAGTAAGCGTCGTGCCCAGGAGGTCACGGGAAGGCAGCACCATGCTGAGCCCGCTCAGATCAAGTGCTGGAGACCCAGGTGCTACCCACGGTGACCTCCAGGGAAGGGCAGCTGCCCTTCCTCACCATTCCCAGGGCTTGGCCCCTACCTTGTTGCACTTCTCACGGGCATTCGAGCGTGGCTGCGGGCTTCCCGAGGAGCCGACACTGCTTTGCGGTGGGAAGGCGCCTCCACCCAGCTGGGGCTGCAGGGACAGAAAGCAGGAGCTGAAGCCATGGGGGTTTAGTCCTCACCTCGGTTTCCCAGATCCGAGCATCCACCTTCTGGCGCTGGCCAGAGGGAGAAGCATCCTCCCTTCTCCCAGTGCCAGGCAGGCAGCATGGCTCCCCTGGGGAAGCAGAGGAGCCGGGGGAGCTGGGGTGTGCAGAACTGCAACCCAGGGGACCCACTCGCTCTGTGCTTGCCAGTTTTATGCCTGGCAGGGTCCCCATCAGCTCTGGCTCCTGCCGTACTCACGTGATAAATGAGAAGCCTCTTGTTCCCGCAGTCGCTTTCCAATGGCTTCTCTGGGTTGTTTCTGTCTCGGGTGTGCTCGGGACCCTTCCAGTCGTCCTCCAGCCGTTGTGCTGGACTCTCAGGCCTTTTCCAGCTGTCATCCGGCCGTAGTCCTATGTCCAGACATCTAGCAGGGCTTTTCCAGTCCCTTTCCAGCTGGCGCATCACATCCGCATGGCACACGGGCTTCTCTTGGCGCTTCCAGTCCTTCTCCCATGCCTGTGCTTTGTGGGCATCCCCCTGTCCCCTCCAGTCCTTCTCCAGTGGTCGTGTTGGGCTCGCGGGGTGCAGGGGCTTGCCTCGACCTTTCCAGCCACTGCCAGCGCCCTTCCCGGGGTGAGAGGGGGGCAGTTTTTCCTGGAGGCTCTGCCAGCCACATTCGGATGGCTTCCCGGGCTCCCTGAGGCGCAGCGGCTCCCCTGGTTTCACCTGTTGCCTCTCTGCCCCCCGCACCGGGGCAGGAGGGGAGATCTCCTTTTGGCTTCTGCACGTGCTCTCTGTACATCTCCCAGGACTGAGGGACCGCGGTGGTGGCCCTGCCTGGCTCAGCCCGCTGTTATCCGAGCCCTTCCCAAGGCCCATAGGGTGCAAGGGGTCCCCTCGGCTCTTCCTCTCCAGGCCTTGCCCTGTACCCCCTGCCTGCCAGGCGGCTCGGCCCCTCTCTGAGTTTGGGGGGTGGCCGGGCTCCCCTCGGCTCCTCCAGCTTTTCTCCAAGCGCCAGGGAGGGCTCCCGGGCTCCCCTGCCCTCCTCTCCGACCGGCGGGCTGGGCTTGCAGAGCGTGGGCTCCGGCTGCCTCTCTCCAGCAGCCAGCCAGGGCTGGCGGGGCGCGGGGGATCCCCCTGGATCCTGCTGGCCCTCTCTGGGTGCTGAGCCGGGCTGGGGGAGCGCAGGGGCTCCTTGGGGTCTCTGCTGCGCTGCTCGAGGTGCCAGGAGAGCTGCTGGCCCTAGGGACATGGAGGAGGGAGAGCAGAGTATCCTCTTAAAAAAAAAATGCCAGTGAGTGGGAACAAGATGGGATTACGGCTGGGAGATGCTTTGGTTCCCCAGACAGCAATTGCATCCCTGTGCACAGACCCAGCCTGTACTGAAGAGAAGCACCCAAAGGGTGAAGGGGCTGCTGCCATTTAAGAGCAGAGTGTCGTGGTCCATGGCAGGAGGAGGGCTGGGAATACAGGGAAGCGGGAGCAGGGGAATGGAAGAGAGAAGCATGCGGCAGAAATAGAGCAAAATGTGGCAGGGGTAAGCAACCCAGCTCGGGGAGTTGGGATGGGGTCCCACCACGCAGGCAAGCCTCACCTCCCTGGGCAGGCTGGGGCTGGTCTGCCTCCGAACTAGGCGGCCTTTGCTGGGTGGCACCGGGGTCTTGCCATCGAGCCGGTCCACGCGGCCTTCCTCCAGGGCCTGGAAGGCCTCCAGGGTCTCCGATTTCCTGCAGGCACACACAGTGTGTCCAGCTGCTGCCAGGCTCAGCTCAGAGGCAGAGCCCCCACGGACCCTGCTCCTGCTGAGCCTGACCGCACAGACATCCACCAGCCCCAGGCACCATGTGGCACCATAGCATCTCCCTTGCCCTGTCCCCACCACTTCAACCACCCCAGCTTTCGTGTTCTGCTGCCTCACTCATGTCTTCTTCACACTATTCCTTAAGCTTCCCTCCATCTGCTCCTTCACATCCCACCCACCTGACCCAGGATACTTCCCTGATTCCCGTTTATGTCCCCTCCTGCCCTGTGCCACCAACACTGGAGCCACTTGTGCTTCTCCAGCCAAGACCCAAGCAGCACTGCGGACTTCTCAGCATCCCCAATCCTTTCCTGAGCGGCTCCTACAGCAGATCCTGGATCCCTGGGGAGCCACTGACTGGGTGCAGGGACCACCTCTCTCCTTCCCCCTTTCTGTGGCTTTCCCCACTCCACAGCACATCCTGTGGCTTCCAGGAGGCGGCTGGGAGGATGAGGAGGGTGGGCTACTCCCTCCACTTCCAGCGGCGCAGCTTCACTCCACCTTTCCAATGGTCTCCTCTGCCTGCATGCCACAGTGGGGGAGCTCCCCAGGCCGGGAGGCGCTGAGCCTAAACCCAACCCCTGCTTTAAGGGGTTTCTGTCTACAGCTGAAAGCTGAGCTTTGCCATCCAACCCTGCTCTCTCCCTAAGGCACGGTGATTCTGAGGTGGGGGCCCCCCAACAGCATAGTGGGGGTGATTCCCCACCTCTGACCACTGCAGAGACCCATTGCTTCTCACCTGCGCTCGCAGCCAAATATCCTTTCCACCTCCACCCGGCCAGGGCTGAGCGTGCGGGAGCTGCAGCGGTCGACAGCATCCCGCTGGCTGAGGCGCTTGGGCTTGGGCAGGTCTGCCAGCACCGTGTACTCCTGCCTCTCCAGCCCATGCCGCCCCTCCGTGCCCCCGCCGCCGGGGTACCCACGCTGCGGGCCGACGAGGGGCCAGCGGGGGCACGTGGCGGGGTGGATGCCCAGGGAGGGTCAGTTTTCCGGCGCTCCAGGGAGAAATAGCCGCTCTCTATGCATTGCTTTGGCCAGCTCTCCTCAGGCTTCTGGCTGGCAGGATGGCGCTCTGGGACGGGGAGAAGGCCATTACTGGGGGAGGCACGAGCGACGCGCGATGCCACCACGTCCACGGCAAAGCAGGTCTTCGCAGGAGAGCTAGAAATGGTCCAGGAGGGCAGAGATAAAACCCAGACTCCCTCCAGGTGAGGTGGGAGTGCTGGAACACAGCACTGCGAGCTGAGGGCATGCCAAACCATGCAGACAGAGAACACCCGGGAGACCCATGGTTCATGGTCAGCACACACAGAGATGCCATCTCATGGACTCTGGGCCTCATCTCTTTGCATGGTGCCCGCAGAGGCGTTGAACACCTCCTGGGACCAGAACCGGGTAAAGAGATGCTAAATCTAAATAGAGATCTGCTGTGAACTTCAGAGACCCCCGGGTGGAAAGCAAACCAGAATGAGGATCTCACATGGGAGCAAACCAAGTGTACCTGCTTTCAGCGGGCAGATTTCTTTCCTAAAGCCCTGGGCCTCGATTCTCACCCAGGATCCAGAGGAAACAGGCTGAGCCCACCTGGGTCTGTCTGCCTGTGGGGCTCGCAGCCGCACCTCCTCCTTGTGGCCCGCGTAGCTCATCATGTCCCGTTTGCCCAATCCCAAAGTGTTGTCCCACAACAGGGTCATTTCCCCATCCTGGGAGATAAGATAGGGCAGATCTCTGCAATGGGGACCAGTAGCTTTTGTGGGCTGGAAGGAGGTAAGAGCATATATGAGAAGTTACCGCCCATTCAGCCGAAAGCTTCTGGTAAAAAGGAACCAGGAGAGGAGCTGGGTGAGCATAAGATGATCCCAGCCAAACATCAATGGGCATGGCAAGAAACAACATAGGAAAGTCTGCACGGGGGAATCCAGGAGCAAATCTCATGTGCTCTTTATGGGGAGAGCCTCCTTTGTGGGGACCAAGGTTCTCAGCTGATCCCCCCTTGGCATCTCAGGACCTTCTGAATGTGCCCAGCAGAAGTAGCATTGAAAAGCCGAGGGGGCTGGGAAGACCGAAATAACCCAAACCACGAGAGATCCCCATCTCACCCTGGCAAGCGTGGAGTTGGCTTCGGCACGGGCGCTGGGGTCGGTGCCAGTTTCTCTGTGCTCACCCTCAGCTCCGGGGTTGAGCGGGGGATAATCCCTGCTCTCGTGCCAGCTGTGGGGCAGGGGCAGTGAAAGAGGACAGCTGGTGGTCAGCACAGCCCACGGAGCTCAGGAGCAGGTGGCAGCACCAGCAGCCCAAGCCATGCCATCTCTCTCTCCACTGGATGGGCACAGGCTGGCAGAGCCCATCCTGGGGCCACCAGCCTTGCTTTAGAGGCAGTGAGGAAGAAGTCTATTTTGGTGACCCCCTGACCTCTCCTGGGACAGCCAAGAGGAACCCAGTTAGAGGGCATGGCATGGGGGTGGCTCAGCCCTTTTTCCCAGGCACGGGTATGCAGAGCATCAGGGAGAAGGCATCTGATTTCCCCCTGCTTGGCTTTCTGCTCCCCCTCCTCCGTTTTTCGCACCGAGGGGGCTTGTTGGAGCAGCGCGGCTCCCGGCTGGTACTCACCGCTCTGTCCCCTCCGCTGGGCCCACGCACACATATACCTCACACTGAGGGGCTAAAATGCGGAGGGCATCCCAGGGCCCGCCTGGGCCTGCGTTGTTGCCGGCATCGCGCCCTGCAACCTCCACGGCATGCTCCTGTGAGGAAGAAGGGGATGCAATGGTGCCATCAGCGTGTTGAGGATGAGGAGGAAGGCTGTCCTTTGGAAAATGCCTGCTTCTTCTCCCTCCTCCGAGAGCAGCCTGGCCTCCAGAGCTCTTGATGCCTCACCCAGCCTGCTGTTGAGATTTTTCTCCTACTTCAGGAGGACAGAAAGAACTAGCACGCTCCTATTTGATGCTGAATGCTGCAGGCATCCCAGCGACAGCGCGTGTGGATGAGGGCTCAGGGAAACCCCCCCCGCTTTGGCATTGATGCTGCTGGCGGCTGCTCTCCCTTGCCACCCAGATAGCCTGGGGAGAGGCAACCGAGCCAAGAGGGAGGGCAATTTTTGCAGGGAAGGCTGCAGCCCCAGCCTTTCTCTGTCAGGGCTTGCAGGCGTTTCAGCATCCTCCCCAGCCTCGTTACCTGCAGTGCTTATGAGCAGCGGGGGGGGAGACTCTGGGGAGCCGACTGTCTGCGTCCCCTTTCTTCCAGCATCTCGCCCACGCCAGGATTCACTCAGAGGCGACAGCTCTGAGCAGATCACAGGCAAAGGGCTGAGGTAACCTTAGAGGGCCTGGGGCCAGGGGGAGAGAGGGAGAGGGTGAGAAAGGGAGAGGGAGGCTCATTACTATTTCATCATTCCAGGCCAGTTGCTCCTGGAGGACGGTGAACAACACGAAACCCTCCGTGAACATGAAACCAGCTGCCGCCTGGTTGGAGACAGCCAAGCAGCTTGTGTGTCCGGCCCTGTGCCGAAGGACCATGTTGGATCAAGGTATCCGGAGCCCAAAGTCCCATGAGATTTATCCCCCTCTTGCCTTCCCCTCCGGGAACACGTCGCTGCAGATGCCCCAGGGACAGGACTCAGCCCTGGCCCTAAGCTGACAGCCAGGGGATACAGGAACATCCACCAAGACCACACTTTAGGTGAGGCAGGCTGTAAATGCCAGCAGGCATCAAGCAGAGATTAATCCAGGGTGGGTCCCTGCTCTGCCAGTCCCCCCCTTCCCTCCTTGTAGCTTTGCATCTGCAACACCCCTGCTTTCCCTTCCAGGATCTATCAAGCCCCTCGTACCCGGTGTCCAGCCCTTCCCTGCTAAGGTGGCTCCCAGCTCTGGCCTGGGCACGGTTAAATGATGGATTCCCATGCCTGGGAAGACTCTCTCCCCATGCAGCTTTCCCCCAAAGAAATCTAGAAAGCCGGGCTGAGCCTTTGTGTTAGGGATTTCCATCTCTACAAAGGCACATGGAGTCCTGACATGGAACAAAGGGGCCCTTAATGAAGTATTCATAGCCTCCAGGTGGGATGGAGGAGCTCACCTGGATAGCATGCTGGTGAGCCCCTGCGGCTCGGAAACAGTGCTGGCACAGGCTCTTTGCAAATATGTTGGCTTCAAAGTTCATGCAGGGCACGTCTTCTACTGAACCAGACATCATCCATAGCAGGGATGAAGATCTTTGGCTGCTGGGCTGCTGGCAGGGGGCAGCCAGGAGGAAAAGGAGGAAGGAACAGCAGCAGAAGACCAGAGCTTAGGGTCTCCCAGCCTCAGGCTCCTGTGGAAGCAGGGATGTTATGCCCAGATGGAAGTTTGCTGCTCTCAGCTGGCAATACTGGAATCGAAGGGCAATCAAAGGTGCAAGGTGTTCGGTGTGGTCCATATAATCATAGATAATAAAAGGGTATGCTCCAGCAGGCACCTCTTTTAGAAGGGGGCACTGCACTTCACCCTCAAATGACTGCTGACACCCCTCAATTTGGGAGTCCCTGTGAATAGAGGGAATGATGCTCACATCCTGCTGTTTTTTTTGATGGAAGTTTTCTTCCTTCAAGCTCTCTTAAAAGGCACAAAAAGGAAACCTTTCTTCTTGGCTATGTTGCTCATAAAGGGATAGCTATAAGCAGCTTAGGAAATTTGGAAGCCCACTAAGACTCTTCCTAAACTTGTTGATCCCACTAAAATTTCTGAGACCTGTGGGACAGTTGATCACAAAACTGTGAAGGGCAGCAAGCATTGCTAGCACAACAGCTGGGCTGCACGCTTCTGTCCTGGCTTTTCGCAAGCATCCTGCCCACCATCACCTCCTCTGTCCCGCAGGGTTTGAGAGCAAGTCCTTGGATTTGAGGATGTGATCTGTGCTGGGAGGGCTCCACTTAATTTGTCTGGAGGAGGCACCAACAGAAGGACATGAGATCAGTGTGGGATGAGTCCAGCATCCCTGATGTGAACATGCCGCTGCTCCCCTAAACATGGACACTTGAGTCAGAGCAGCTGATCAAGGCTATGGCTGCTCCCCAAAACACCCAGGGCCAACGGTTAATGCCAAAACCAAGCTATAATTTTTGTTTGTCAGTGTACTCATTTGCAATACAGCAAGTTGCACTAGTGCCAACCTTGCAGCCTGCCTCCTCGCACTGGGGCAAGTTACCTTGACTCATTCACACCAAATGCCAGACAGGAACCTAAGCACTCACCTGCCAGGGATGCAGCACTAAAGGCCCCGACATCGCTGCCCACCCCTGCCCACGGAGTGCCACCCGTGGCCAGAGCCCACAGCACCCCACTGCCTGATGGGCAAATCATTGCTCCCCACATCCCTTGGGCGCTTGGGGCCTACTGCCAGGATAATGCTGCGCTCCCCAGGGCCTCTAGCATGCATGCATGCAGCCAGCCATGCCCACTGCTCCCAGTACCCCCAGTACCTCAGCTTCCCTATGGCTCCCAGCACCTCGCCGCCCGCCGAGCTCCCCCCCTCAATGAAGCTCGTCGTGGGAACCGCGGGGGGCGAGTCCCCGCCCCCTCCCCTCTCATTGGCTGCCACAAAGCACCGATTTGAATATCGCCCTGGCCCGGCCGTGGGGAGGCGCCAGCGGCTGCGGCTCGTCCCCCGCCTTGCCCCCTCGTCCCTCGGCCTCCTCCCTGCTCTTCCTCCCCGGGACCGCCTCGCCGCCCGCCCAGGGTCTGCCCCGGCGCTCCCCCGCAGGCATCGCCCCAGGAACGAGTTAACTTGAACCCTAAACGGGCACCCAAGCGGCGGGCTCATCTGCAGGCACGGAGACAGCCCAACGTCGCCGTGTCCCCAGCACAGCTCCAACGGGAGGCCAGCCCTACCCGCAGCACTCCCCAGGGAGGTTTGCCTAACCTGGGCTTTACCTGCCTGAGCCTTGCTGGTCCTAGTGAAACACGCTTGACATCTGTCCTCTGTTGCCCCTGCTACAATTCAGCCTCCTTCTCTTCCCCGTCCTGGCGAGCATTATAAAAATAAAATAAAATAAAAAAAAAAAGCAAGCAGCTTAATGTCACTTTTTGTTCACCAGCTGAAGGCAGTCGGCAATTCACTCTCCAACCCTGTCTCTTTCCCAAACAACCCCAGTTACTCAGCTCCATTAGTACCCAAAAGCTCTTGTCACTCTCCCAGTAACTTTTTTCCCCAGTTCCCTTATAAAAGCAGCAGTGGGACTGTACTGGGTACAGCCTTGAGCTTGATATGCTACATAAGAGCAATAAACACAGTGCACTGATCACCACACAGCTCATGCACACGCGGCAGCCGTGCCTCCTTTGCGCTGCGCTCCTATTTTTTCCCCAACTGTCTGACCTTTTGGCTCCCAGTCTGGTTTTGATCCTCTGTAATCCCAATTATAATTTTGTGCGTGCATGTGTGCAGAAGCGCAGTCTAGCCAGCGAAAGCCATCATGCATGGAAACCCCAGCGTGGCAGCCCACGTCAAAGCCTTGCATCTCTCTGTGCGAGCCCTCAGGCGCAAGCACGAGCAACGCGCAGGTGCCCGAGGTGGCCTGGCTGCAGAGCCAAGCGTGAAAAGCGCGTGCGTAGGCCGTGGAAGGGGGGAGCGCACAGGGAAACTGCCGGTCTCTGCTTTTCCTTTTCGGAGCAGCAGCTGCACTAGCACGTTGATTTTTGCAGGTACCTTATATTTAGAAGAGGCTTCCTCCTGAACAGCTGGAGCTTGTTTGTGAGCAGCTGGGGGAGCAAAACAACAAAAATGCTCAAATCCGTCTTGAAAACAAGGGGACGCAGCAAACATGAAAAATTTTAAGCCACAGCCTGGTATGAACTGTGATGTGCCCGGCAAACACTTAACGCACGAACTTGTGTGTGGGAGCTCCTATCCTTGATCCAATGTATCCTGGGTAGCCTGACTGCACACCCGGTACGTAACAAAGACAGCAGGCTAGGGCCGAGTCAGTAATCTACATTACAAAATAAAGCTTTAGTCGATCGAACGGAGAAATCAATAGTGCAGCCGACAATCCTGATGGTTAACTCCATATAGGATTTAACAGTTCTGTTCTCAGTTTTTCCATATGCTTTTTTTTTTTCTAATTTTATTTTTTAAATGTGAAAACACAACTTCCAGCAGGAACTGGAAGTCTTCAGAGCATGGCAGAGGCCATTGGAGATTTCAGCTGACACTTGAGAAAGGCTCAGAAGTTATTAGAGCCGGGAAAACGAACTAAAAGAAAGATTCCTCTAAATCACCTGGCAGGAAAATAACGAACACTGAAGTGCTATTGAGGTCACTCCTAACATCCCAGCAGGATTATAAAGAGGTAATCCGGCACTGTCCCGACTACCGTGCCAGGCTGCGGACAGCAACCCAACCCACAGTTCACACTCCACACTTCAGCAGGTTTCACAAACGCACGAACCGCACGTTTCCTGAAGAGCAGCTACGCCAGCTCCAGAGCAAACTCCTGGGGTGGGGGCAAGCGCAAGTCACCTTCTGCCCACGGTCGCTCCACAGGGCGCTACGTCCCGGAGAGGAGAGAAAGCTGCTCTACGGCCCCGACCAAGGGCGTCACACACCGTCCTCCAGCTTTGAGTCGCAGTCCGCTTGGCGTGGCACACCACTCCAAAAGGAGCTTCCCTCTCCTTCCCTCCTGCACCCCTCTCTAACCCAACCACAGCAGAACGGCTCCAGAGCACGTAACTCCCCAAACAGAACAAGAAACGCTTTGTGCTCCGCAGGTGGCACCACTTGGGACGCGTTGGATGCATCACTTTCAGCTTTGCCCCCAAGTTGTGTTTCTCCGAAACACCCAGCACGCCGAGGTGAGACAGGAGGATGGGCAAGGCCGCACATGAAGCCCCACGCGCTTTCTGGAGTGGCCTTTAAGGCAGAGCAAGAGAAGATCACCACAGCTATTTTGGAGGTGAAGAAACCACACACACTGCACTTTTACAACGTGACCAGGGTTATTCAGAATTGGTGCCCGAGAGCGCCGAGCCTCAGCTCAGGGTGGGACTGGGAGTCCAAGCGCACAAGGCACTGCGGCACATGGGATAAGAGCATCCACTTCCCTGCCATTTACCTTCTTCAGAAGAGAAAGGGAGGTGCGAAAGGACCCCCTTCCTCACCACAAGCACATGTCACACAGCTCCCTCCAGAGGAACCTGCTCTAGCAGAAGCCCTGTAGCTGCTCGGTGTGGAGATCAGACCCCCTCCCCAACACACCCTGCAGGACTCCTGTGTGTTTGCGCGCGCCTGCTGCAAGAAAAGATGAGATGTTAGCTTCAGCGGCTGGTGGCCATCAGCATTGCTCTGATGTTCCTCCATGAAGCCTCAGGCACTGGTTTACTCTTCCCCCTCCCGTTTCTGGCATGGGGAATCTCTGTACTTGCCCACTGCTGGGCTGCCAATTTTCTGGTGTGGGTTTGTGGGTTTTGGCCACACAGGCTCTTTCTCCCTTTGTCATTTCCTCGCCGGTACAGATGTGGCAAGGGAGGGGGCCTGGCTGCCAGAG